CAGTTTGTCATACGAGCAACGACGGGGAAATGCAATGCAGTTTTTTCCACCAATCTAGGATGTCGAAATTTTTATCGAAAGTCAATTTAGGTTCATTTAAATATCTTTTCAACTTGGTTTCCATTGTCACCGACGTGAGAAAGCGTCCAAAAACTGTTATCCACATCACAACTTACGACTTCTTATACTTTTTAGACGAACCTACATTTGCATACTTTTCTTCAGAGATTTTACATAAATTTTCCCCTGTTTCAACTTCATGCATTGTAGACATCACCCACACTCTTATTGTTGAATCTGACAATTTGTTTCCGCCTGTTATCGTGTTTTCGTTCATTTTCTTAATTACATGAGACAAAAATACGGACTTAAATCGAGGGTCCAACAATACGGCAAAACAAGTGAAATCATTCAAATTTTCTATTGAACCCCAATACTTGTATTTTGAACGCACATCCGGGATCATGTGATAAAGTTGCACTTTTGTTGAACACGTTAGATGTTGGTTAACTTCTAAAATTTCCCGTAAAACAGTTTGTACCAACGGTTTTGATGAAGCCGACAAAATGTTTTTTTTCTTTCTTTTTTGAACTTTTCAAATTCTATCACACGGAAGTCGGCACGTTGCAGGACTTTATTTAAATTACGTGTAAATGAGGTATCTACATATTAAATAGAGACATTACTAACATTTAAAACACATAAAAACTGCATTATTTATTAAGAGCATATGGTATGGGTGTTGTGATATTTTAACCCATCTATTACAATTAAAATCAAATATGAGTCATGCATCTAAGGTGGAAATGTTTTCCTTATTCTTACAAGTTCGGCATTTTGTTGATTAATAATTCTAATACCTTGTTATTTGTAGTGCTATTGTCCATGCTCATGATCATCACATTTTTTATCCCTTACCCGTGTATGCATTCAAGTAACAAACGTCCCACATTTTCGTCCATGTGAGTATCTATTGGTCTAAAGTTTAAAATCCTTTTATGTATGACTCAGTTGTCATCTATGAAGTCGTAATAACCAGGTAAGTAACTTTTTGACATGATGAAATCCATGTATCGGTTGTCAAGTGTATTGTGTTGTTTGAATTACTAAAGAAAGTTAACGATTTTTTCCTTTCATCAAGATAGAACTTACCAACATCATGACTAATTTTATGCCTAGATTGTATAGTGAGTTTCCCGTTTAGAGCTTTTGTGTACTCTATAAAAGCTTTATTTTCTACAAACTTAAACGGAGTTCACCTACAAAAAATAGGTTTAACATAGTTTTATAATCCTAACTTTATTGTGTTTCCATGTTGTGACACTACTATGCTCCCCTAAAGCTTGTTTTTTAGATGGTAAAGTACTTTGTCATGTTGTATTATCTTCAGTCCCCTGTTCTCCATTGTCTGTATCAACATCATCATCAATAATGTGAGGTATTATCAACAAATATATTGTCATCCTAGACTACAAAAAAGTAAAAATATTTACTTAGGCATTCAACATAATGCATTCAAAATCATGATGTAACAATGAAGAATCAACATTAGGCATTCAACATAATAATACTAATCATTCATCAATCAAACTTCATACATGAATAATATTAAAGAATCATGATGTAACATTATAAAATCAACATTACACCATTGAAAACATAAATTAATTGCATTTACTTGATGTTGAGCGTCTTCCATGAATGAACCAATCCAATTTCCAATCACCATCGAAGAAGCAATACACAAGTTCGTTTTTCGGACTTTAAGAGGTGTTTAGGTGAAAAAACAATGTGAGATTAAAGAGTAGGAGTAAGTAGAAAATGCTAGGTAGTTTTTTTTGGTGTTGCCTATTGTCGTCAATCAAGAAAAGAAGGGGAAGGAGCGAGCCAAAAAAAAGTGAACGAATGCAGAGAATGTGCATATGCCTCATAACCTCACATCGTCCTCGATTTATAAAAATAATAATAATAATAATAATTTAAAAAAAAAAAAAAAAAAAAAAAAAAAAAGACTTGACATATTCCGGTCCGGTCCGGTTCTTACCCGAAAACCGAAATATGGAAAACATTGGAACCGGGAACCAGCCCAGTTATAGGTAAATATGGTTTGGTCCCGGATTAGATACTCATCCCTAATGAAGTCGATCAAAAAAATGAGTGATTTTATCCTTACTCGCTCATCTAATTTTAATACTCCATGCCTATAAAAATATAGTTACGTATAATGCATTGTGACATGTCGCCCAAGTTATTAGAGATACAGGTTATAAAAATATTACATAAAAAAGTATGGAGTAAGTTTTAGTAAGACCCAAAAACATATATCCTCTTGATGACAAATCCTAAGTCCTAAGAAACTGAATCTGAAAGAAAGCATATGCCCTCTGTTTTGTTTTGGCCTGTGTGAGCATGTAGTAGAAGATTGACATCACCAATGACTACTAGCCATTTGCTGCTTCTGGATCTTGGAATTATGAGAGGATTTAGCACCTTTGTCTTTATATGCATTTCTTGAACCATTGCTGCCCTTCCTTCCTGCTCTTGCTGCTTGAATAGCACGCCGTCTCTGCCTCGCTAGACGCTCCCCAAGTTCACCATCATCATCATCTTCCACCTGCAACCAACAATTAAATTTAAAAATAAATAAATAAACATCATTTATCCATACAGAGGTTGGACATTACCAGATCAGTTGTAACAGGCTGCTTCCCTTCAGAGAGCTGTTGTTGATCCTCTTCTTCTTCTACTTTGCCACCATTTCCACAAGCCTTTACTTGGTCTTCATCCTAGAATAATATAATTAAAAGATAAAAAAACTCAGGTGATGGATTTTATTGATAATAAAATACTATGTAACAAATAAAGAAGCCTGTACATTGGTCAATGAGCATAAAGAATCAAAGTTTTGGATGTCTGAGGTGGAATTGGAATTGTCTCCTTCATCTTCTTCTTCTTCTATTTCTTCATCATCAGAACCAGGAATCTTCTCAAGAGTAAACTACATACAAATATATATATATATATATATATATATATATATATATATATATATATATATATATAGTTAGAATTTCAAATCATCATTTCATCAAAAGAATAAAAGCCAACATCAATCAATGCATGAATGCATCATACTACCTTTTCAATGTCAGCTTGCTCCTTCCTGCTAAAACCACTAGCAGAAAGTTCCTTATCAAGAAAACCAGAAGCTTTCTTTATTGAAGAAAACCGAGGCTTTATACTATCTGACTCAGCATCTGAATCTGAATCTGAATCACCAGCATCCGCTTCAAAAGATAGGTTGAATCTGGATCACAACACCTTTACTTTATTAATAAACAATAATAATACCATACAAGTTATTAGCATTTATTCAGAGCTCTGAACATCAATTACAATATACAAACCTCTTGCTGAAAAACTTGATAATACATTCAACATCACGATCAAAGTACCTAAAATCACATATATTAAATCATAGTATCAAACTTTACTACATTGAATGTTAAAGCTATAACCATCTTGTAAGTTAGAATCATCATACATTTCTGCATTTCGATGAGATACAGATACCATTTGTGGAAAATCAATGATGGTGATTTTTTCATCATCATCTATCTGCAACAAAAATATATAATTGAAGTAAGCCAGATAGCAAACTTTTTTTTTAATTTAACAATAAAATTCAAATACAAAGTTAAATAAATACCATTATGTTAAATTCATTGAAGTCACAGTGAATAAGGCCATGCTCTGCCAAACGGACAATAATGCCTATGATCTTCTCAAAAATGGTGTTAGTATTTTGCAACTCCTTCACCTGCACACTATATATATATATATATATATATATATATATATATAGGATACCATTACTTTCTTTTCAAATATGTTACAAAAATAAAGATTTAATAGGAGATTGCTTACAGTGGATAGCCTTGAACAAGGGACATTATGACACAATGGCGATTGCAATCCACTGCATTTGGAACAGGAAACCCATGTTCTTGTAATGCCTACTCAGAAAAAAAAAAAAAAAAATGGAATGAATAACTGATAAGAAACAAGATCATTAAGATTTACAATTGCAATGATACCTTCATGAAAGCAAACTCTTTAAGAGCAGCAAGGCGAGAGAGATAGAGCCAACTAAAGCTGCTTCTGTGCCTTAAATAGTCACGCTTTGACTTCACAGCTCTGAAAGAGGTTCTACCAAGTCTGTGTAGTTTCATAGCCATTATCTCACCTTCTTCATTTGCAACCTCAAATATATCTTCAAAACAAGCCATATTAGAATAAACAAGTGTAAGTGTGTGTGTGTGTGTGTGTGTGAAATTAAAAGAATTTTTGTATTACCCGACTCTTTCCCCACACCAATTTGACGTCCTACTGATGAAAATACACCTCGGTTGACCAGAGTCTTTATAGCAAGAAAATCATAACCAAGGTAGGTAAGCCTGAACCCATCATCTACACCAAAAAAGACAAATATGCCCATTAGGTATAGAAAAGGTGTTATATGTTAAAAGTCAAAACAGACGTATTACTCACACTTTGAGGAGTCATGATGCAACAATTTATGCTTGAGCAAATTCTTCAACACCTTATAAGTCCCTCCATGTCTATACACAACCAAAAAAAACTAGTGTTTGTTATCATTTTGGCATGTAATGTAACAAAAAATAGTTGATCATTAGGAACTACAGATATGTATTAATACAGATATTGAAAAAATGGAAATGGAAAGCATTAGAGATTTACCTGAGTGAAGCAATGCGATCGATGAGCTCAACAGGTACAATTTCATGCTGAGAAGAGAAAAAGAAGTTTTTTTTTATTTAGATGAGAGAAAAGTCAAAAAAATCAAAAGTGATTTTAATTAGTATTAGTGAATAGTGAGTTACATTGCGCATTCCCATCTCTACAGCAGTGAGAACCCTGAAGTCATCTTTAGAGAGGTACCGAAGAACATTCACATCAAGCTTCATCACTCCTTTGTTTTAGCACTTTTCTTCTCTACTAAGTAAATATTGATCACCTGAAAATCCAATTTAGGGTTCAAATCCACTTCAAGATAAATATTAGTATCATATACCTAACTAAAACAAAATGAAAAAATTGAAGATAACATGTAATCTTACATTTACCTTCAAGATTAGTTTTGTAACAATAAATTAATCATTATCTACTTCTCAATTTGATTATCACTGTGGTACTCTTGTATAACTTGGAGAAACAATCTTCAGTTCATTATAAAGCTTCAAACAACATCACATATACAAATTATGCAAGAGGACTCAGAAACTCTTCTTTGAGTATACACACACACCATGTAGAATTAATATCACAAAAAGTTATATGTAAGCACATAACACAAAAAAGGGTTACATAACATTTATCGTTTACCAATTAGCCCCTCAACTGCATATAACAGATTAACAGATTACAAATTACCAAACTCAACTCCTTCACAGTAGGGCACTAGCAATGTCGTTAACTCATCATAGCAGTGTAGTTCCAGAAGTCAACATAGAACCAAGTGAATCACACATTCAAGAAGCAAGCACTAAATAACTCAAGAAGCTATGCATTCACAGCAATAACAAATTTAGTAGCAACTGGAAAAGTCAACAAGCAAGCAGTAGAGAACAAAAAGAGAACCAAAAGTCAAGAAGCAGGCAATCAAAAAATCAGTATCCGATAAGCACTTTTAACTTATAGCTTATTAGCTTATAGTGGTGTCCAGATGGAGTTTTTAAAAAAGTGTTTGGATTAGCTTGTAAGGTGTCAAAACGCCAGAAGCTGATAAGCATTTTTTTAGTTATTGGCAAAAAAAACTGTTTATATGTGTTAAATGACCAAAAAGGACTTCCTTTTACATATAAGGATCTTAAGAACATCATTCAAAAACACTAGGAGGAAATCAGTAGCATCTATTGCTCATTCCCAAGTTACCAACATCAAATTTCAAAAGTTAAACATTAAAACTTGTATATTAGAATTGATATGTGAAAACATGCATATTAATAAAGTACTATCCCTCTCAGGCATTTGATCAAACAGATTGCCTGCAAACACATTCTTTTTTTACAGAACACTGTACACATCAGACTTCATACATTTGAACAGCAAAAACAATTACCAAATCAGTAGCAGCAAACAAGTAGCAAATCAGTAGCAGCAAACAGATAACAAATCAATTGTCACCGAAAGTAAGAAATCACCTATTAGAATTCCAGAGAAGAACTTGAACTTGCCGATTGATATTAAAAAAATACTACAGAAATTTCGTATGTAAAGAAGGAAATCACAGGAAAAGAAAACAGGTTTAATAAAAAGAAATCGACCGCCAACATCAATTGCCAAGTTCAAAGAAAGCAGAAAAGAAGGAAGAAAAATGGAACCTGGGCTTAGGTGCGACGGAGTTGTGGCTATCGAAGGTCTCCGGCCAGTGGCTTCACAGGGGAGGCGATGACGAGCAGGGGAGAGTTGACGTGAGGAGCAATAGCGAGAGGCGATGCTGTTTGTAATCGTAGGTACAGTGAGTAAGGTTTTATTAGGGTTTGGGGCATATCGGTGGATTCTCAAATCAATAGGAATAAGTAGTTTTTGATAAGTTGGGTAAAAAAAAAATAATAAAAAAAAAAAAAAAATGAAGTATTTTTTTGTTCGGTGGAATCATTGAAATTAGAAGAAATTAGAATCTAATTTCATAACTTTTCTTTGTTTGGTTCAACTGTTAGCTAGGAATTTGATTTCTAAATGAGTCAAATTTTCCTTACAATGAGGTAAAATAAATTTTATCCAAAAATTTAAGGAATTAAAATTTCTTTCAAGTGAAAATGTTGAATGTTACCATATTACTCATTTTACTATTAACACTACATATAAAACCCCTATGTCGCCACCACCACCTCCAATTCCTGGCAGATTCCAATTCCTTAACAGATTCTAATTTCTTCAAAAACATTCTGCAAACCAAACGCCACCTGACTTGTATAGAACAGCTATAAATCATTTTTTTTAATAATCCTTATTAAAATATTAATTTTAGCTTATATCAATGTGAAATCGATAGTAAATTAAAAAGTTCCTTAAATAAGCTTAGTCAAACACCCTCTTAATTTGATAGTGGGAGTCGATCGACCAGGAGGAGAATGACTCCTCGTCAAGAAAAAAAAACGAAGAGACGTTGAATCTTGTCTTCAAGTTCATATTCAATCGTGTGTAAAAAAAGATTTTTAGGCTAAGAATAGTTGGTTAATCCAATAGAAATAATTTGTTTTTTCATAATTAAGTAACTAAGACCTAAAAACAAGTTAAGGTCAAATAGCTCTAAAAAACGGGATATCGAGTTCAAAATAACGGTCAATCTCGGTGATATTTGCGGCTCTGCTATTTGGGAACGCTATTCCAAACTGCTATTTTGGCTAAGCTCACGAAACGCTATCCCACCAAGATAGTGATGTTATTAACTGCACAGATTGCGAAATGCGAACTCTAGAAGTAACCCCAAGACGAAAAACAAGAACATAACAAACCTGAGATGGTGGGTTGACGTCGGTGATGATGGGTGTCGCTGACTCGTTGTTGCCTGTCGGAGTAGGTATTTGTGGGTGTCACACATCGTTTGAGAAGTGAGACGTTGAGCCTTTTGCATTTTTGCATAGTATAAACGAAGTTAGGGTTAATCGAAAGAGTTTTTTTTTCTAAGATCTAACTTTTAGGGTTAATTGAAACATAACCACTAGGTTTCAGAGTTCTTCAAACTCCAAGAACACAATGATAAAAGGACCAAAATGGCCTCCAAGCCAACCATCTCCTAGATCTAACAATACAAAATCATAAAGGTGGTAGCTTTATACTCACAAAAGGTCCAGAAGAAGATTAGCTTGCTGAAATACCAAAGAATCACACTCCAAAACACTTCTTATATCTTATTCTCCCTTGATCTTCACAAAATGAACACCAAAACCACAAACTATTAAATGAGGGCTAGGATTTGATGAGAGAATGTTCTCTGGAGGTGGAGGCTGACAAATGACAAAACTATAGGGAATTGTGCACTTAAATATGCCTAACTACCAAGGCCTTTAGGGTTTGACCCATCTGGCCCTTCGCACCGCGAGTTTCATTAAAGATCGCACCTCGACCTAGTCGCATCACACTTTCTAAATACGCCACCTTGCTACCCAAAGAGAACTCCAAAAACTTAATATTTCCAATTAATACATAAAAGCGTTCCTAAAAATCGGATGTTACAATTTTTTCCCCACTTAACTCATATTTCGACCTCGAAATCTATCTCGGCCAAATTGCAGAAAACCACCTTTACGCAAATCCTTTATGACTTCTCCAAACCACTCACTAATACAATGCATTCAACAAAAAGGTTCACGAGATCTTCCAGGACCTACACAACATCCAGATCTAGCCCACCCATATGCAATTACTCAAATTGGAACGATTACCTTTCTCACTACCGACGATTTGATCAATCTCATAGTGAAACCATTCAAACGGGGAACTCCAATGCCACAACCACAAACCAAGCCCAACGATAAACTTCACAAGACTAAAAATCCAACGGTCTGAAATCCTATAAATCATACTTTAGAACTAATGTTCGCCTTATATATATATATATATATATATATAATATATATATATATATATATATATATATATATATATATATATGTGGAAGTCCCTCTGACTAGGAACACTGCCATCCACTAAGGAACAAGTGATGTGAATTATGAACATTGGTTTGGCATGCAGAATTAAAGAACACACAAAGAACACGGTGATTTCGGTGTTTAAGAGATGCATTCGATTATGTAAGGTGTTACAAAAAAGGATCTAGATCTAAATCTACATAATTAACACACACTAAAACTCTTAATTTTACATCTCTCAAGCACACCTCTACACGTGGAATGAACCCACCTTATATAGAGGTGTTTACATCTCTCTCTCTCTCTCTCTCTCTCTCTCTCTCTATCTATCTATCTATCTATCTATCTCTATCTCTATCTCTCATGTCACAAGACTACTTTACCACATGCAAGTGAGTCTACAAAAGTCAAACCATTTACAAAGTCATACATGGATAACTTTGTACCCAACATTCTCCCCCTCAAAGTTAGGAATGGATGACCCGCTTCAAATCTTCCAAACTCGAGCAACTTCACGAGCCGAGCCTCAAACGTGACACATGTAGAGATGAACATTAAATCTTCAATTCTTCCATGATTCTTCAATTTGGGTTCTAGAATGTGCGACCATACGAACCGAGCATCAACGGATAATTAGGAGTTTCTCAATCTCCAAATAATCACCCTAAAGTTGAGCATAAAAACACATCCCAAAAATCTTCAATAAATCCAAACCCATCATGAACCGAAATCACTTCCAAATTTCCAATCGAGTCATTTCATAAACTTCAAATACTCGAGGTCACTTCGGTCTTCAAGTCCGCGTAATATGAAAAATTCAACTTTCGAATTTCCATATAAATCTATCCCCCTTTTTATAATCGAAAAATGATTATAAAACCAAGAAAGGAATGAGAAAGTGCTCTATTCGGAAATTTTCTAGCCAAAAGTCCCCCTTAACACATGGCATAAACATTTTGCTTCAATCTGGGAAATCCAAAAAATATCCAATTTTTAGCTTCTTTCACGGACCGCCTTTAACAAAACGTCTCAAAATTGGGTAGAAATTGTCAATTTCAAAATTCTGCAGTGACCCGGTGCGCCCAAAACAGCAAAAAATGCGAAACTCTCCCCCATTTGTGAAACTGGGTAGAAAGCGTCAATTCGCATTAACTGCAGAAGCTTGAAATGTACATTCTTCAATTTCTCAGAAAATTAGTCCATTTTCGAAATTTGGGTATGGTCTGCCAAATTTTCGAAAGTTCAGGGACTACTTTCGAAATTTTTGCCTCTTTTCTTTCAAACTGCCGAAAATTACCCTAAATGTCGAATATGGTACAAACTGTCAAACTTTCGAAATTTGTAGGGACCAAATTCGAAAATTCTGCCTTATTGCTTCCAAACTGTCGAAAAGTAATCCAACTTTCGAAGATGGGTATAAGATGTCAAATTTTCGAAACTTTAGGGTCCACTTTCGAAACCTTTATGTTTTCTTCCCCAATTCGTTTTACCAGATAACGAAGACTTCCATTCTCCTTCCCAACTTGTTATCAATCTTTAGAAAATGAGCCACTAAAATCTTCGTTAGTTGATAGATTCTCACAACCAAACTTTCGAAACTTATAACCATCGACAACGTATCCTCACTCCAATCCATCAACATCGAAATCTTGATTCCAAGCCTTCGACTATAGATATCAAGACTAACACAAGGCTTCGTTTTTAAAAATTAGGCATCGACATCTAAACATCAACTCCAAAATCGAATCGATTTCAACCCAATTGATAACAACCTTTCGTTCTCAATCTATTAACCATCAATAACGAATTCTCAATTCAACTTAATTTCGAAGTCGTGATTATGCCATCGACTCTGAACCATTGAAATATCGATTATCAATTTCCCAGTCATCTTCACAAGTCGACATCGACATCTAATTCGAAATCAACCCATATACAGACTTTCGAAACTTTAATCTCTTCATCTACCCATTCCATACACGAGTTCGACTCCAATTAACAATCAACATCTACTCTCGACCCATCGAATCTTCACTCGCCGACATTATGCAAAGATTCTTGACCTCAAGGTGTCGAACGACCTGATACACACATTGAAATCAACTGTGTCCCAAATCAAATTTGATTCCCAAACCTTCGATTTCCAGTACATTTTCCAATTTCAAAGCATTCGACCATCAATTCTTCGTTTCTTTTCGTCACTTTCAATTTCAGTGACGAGAAATCAAATCCGACTTTGACCAATCGATCAAGAATTACTACTTTGATAACCTTCAAAGCATCATTTAAGCATGTCGTTGATGTACTCTAAATCAAATTTTGACTTTCAATCAGTTCATCATACATAACTAATCACTAAATTCATGAAGTTCCTCAATTGTTCATCACTTGTTCTTCATCCAAAAAAACATTCTTATATATCAAAACATCCAAATCGATTCATCAAATAAGATATTGTTCCCCTTTAAAGAGATAATATGATCGATGAAATCAGATTTATCAAGAGAAAAACACAATCGATCAAGAGAATATCAAGTAATCGATTTACTCTCAATATTATCCAGCAAAAATCAACATCGGTTTTGAGATGCGATGAATTTTGAAAAAACAAGTTAATCAATCGCATAGATATTGAAGCAATCAAATGAAGTGAACTTTTCAATTCTAAGATTTGAACTCTGATGAAATGACGATAACATCGAATAAAGCAGACACCGACATGAATCAACGAAAGAATACAATGTTGATATGCTCTTGGGCTACTAAATCGATTGATGAACAGTAAATGATTCGAAATTTGGGCTCAATATAAAAAGTGGTCAGATTATCATTTTGGGCTAAAACATATGGATTCATGAACAGTGAACTGATTGTTTTTGGGCCAAAATTTGATTCAAATGAATATTAACAATTTGATATTGGAATCAAACACACGAATATTAGATTGGATTGGGCTTGATCAATTGAAAAAAAATTATTGGACCATAACAAGTGGGTTTTTCAAAAACATATTTGATCCAATGAGTCAAAATGATCAAAAATTCAAGAACGTAAGCACGAATCAAAGAGATTTAGAGAGATCATAGAGATACTCACCATAAATGCTCCAATTGTGACAAATTTAGCCAAACCGAGAAATCGTTTCTTCAAAAAATCATGTTGATCTTCGAAGACCCGCTTTGATACCAATTGATGTGAATTATGAACATTGGTTTGACATGCAGAATTAAAGAACACACAAAGAACACGGTGATTTCTGTGTTTAAGAGATGCATTCGATTATGTAAGGTGTTACAAAAAAGGATCTAGATCTAAATCTACATAATTAACACACACTAACACTCTCAATTTTACATCTCTCAAGCACACCTCTACATGTGGAATGAACCCACCTTATATAGAGGTGTTTACATCTCTCTCTCTCTCTCTCTCTATCTCTATCTCTCATGTCACAAGACTACTTTACCACATGCAAGTGGGTCTACAAAAGTCAAACCATTTACAAAGTCATACATGGATAACTTTGTACCCAACAACAAGTGCTTATGGCATACTGATCATAACCGCACAGCAATTCCCTAACATGGAAAACATGCCCAAAAGGGTTTCCGCTGCTCACTTGACTTTCTGACAAGTCATTACCATCTTACCGCTCCCACGAGCATACCAATGAACAAATCATAAACTCATGTTGTGTCTAAACTCCCATACCGACTCAAGTGTGCAACGATCTCTTTGTGGGTTCACCGCCCTACTTACTATTAAACATAAGATGAGTTTGCCCCATCAGCCCAAACGTCGACGCCCAACAACCTAAAACTATAAAACTTCAAGCAGAGTGTAACAACCCAAAATTTTCAGAAAATTTCAACTTTTAAGTTCATAAATGTCAATCACAAGATGTCCAAAAACCACATTACATATCCGTATCATTTTAATATTCAGAGTACGAAAACTAGGTATGAAAACATTGGGGGAATGC